CGTAAAAATTGAAAAAAAACTCACTTGCAAGAATAACTGCAATAATTTGTCCAGCTAGCGACACCTTATCAGTACATATTGCCTACAGAAAAGCAAATTTATCACCTTCTTAGCCTTACTGCTGCGGTACATAATATATAATGCTAACCTGATAATATATTGCGCCATCTATCCATAGGTTAATAGCGTTCATTATGGGCAGTTTTTGATAGATTTAATAAGTAACTACACATTCTAATTTTGATGAGAAAAAAGTTCTAATCACAAAAAAGACGATTTGATGGTCTGTATTTCCATACCTCTAAGTTTATATCAAGACCAGTAAAGGAAATTAAATAATTGTTAACTCCGTTGTTAGGTATATCTTTAGCTGTAATCACTTCCACTACACCATCCATAGCCTGAAATAGTTTCAACAGAGTGTGCAATTAAGGATAATTTGGCATCATTTTTCTGTCGTAACATAAACCTTGATATGTCTTGCACAATATTTATTTTTTGAAAAAAACATGTATTTTACCTCTCCGTGTGAGATCTATGGACTAGAAGATATAATTAAATCATACTAACTAAAACCTCACTGAAATCAATATTTTCAATAGTTGAATTTCCAACTTTAGATAGTACCAGTGAACCATATAATTCATCTTTATATTGAGGATAATCATCAACATATACTGCTTCTCCACATGCCTACAAATATCGATTCATCAAAATTAAATAATGCAAAGTTACAGTCAGTCAGTCAGTCAGATCTACATTAGATATTTGCGATACCGTTCAAAATACTGGAATGACCATATGACTTGATGTTTTTCAATATTTCATTGTCATAAATTGGAAAGCAACAGATATTAACAACAAAATGAGTGTTATTGTCAACTTGACTTGATGATGCCTTTGTCGTAATAATTTACGCAGCCTTAATCAAACCCATCGATAGAGGTGGATGTACAACGCTCGATAATGAATTTCTCAGACTGTAAATTGGTCTCTAAGCGTCTTCAGACCCAAGATGGTGAAATGACACTATAAAGGTGAACGCAGCGAAACATCAAGAGCCGTAATTAAATCATGTTGATGATTACCTGAGCCAGGGCAGTAAGTTTTATGATTGGTTCTTTCAATGGGAAAGAATCTTGGTGTGTCTGATAATGTTGCTCACCAGAAGAAATGTTCCGTGTTATACTGCCATTATATGACTGAGTGTTCACTCCGGACTTGTCATGGATTATATCTATAAACGTCTAACAAATACAGTTAAATGGACGATCGTTTATAAATTTCGGATAACTAGAACTAATAAATATTCATTGATACATAGACAAAGCTTCAAGGAACAACAATCATTGGTGCATAAAAGCGTAACAAATGATGTGTTCCATTAAGCTTTGTCTAAATATCTTGATTACAATTGCTAAAAGAAATTTAAAGCTTTAAATATTACGATGTTTTGAAACAGGTGTGTGTTGTCTCCAACCATTAGGATGGGATTTTTATTACGCGATCCTTATCCAATAAGCTAGATTCCAAATCAATTTAATTCTAAAAAATAAATGTGTACAAGTAAGATCTGATTCCATACAACATAAAAACAACATGGATTACCAAAGATACCTTATAAAATAGATAAATAGATAGTTGTTTTCTATATCTAACAGAAGATAATACTGGATTTACATTATCTACAACGATTTCTTCGTTCAGCAGTTTTAAACAATCTGTAATCCAAATACCACATAGAGGTACATTTAAAAACAATAAATTATGACGTTTAGGCATAAAAATAAGGGTGACAATATTGGTGCAATATCCTGTTAAATAAAAATCCCAGGAAAATCAACAAATATAATGGAAGCTTTCGTAGTTTTGTCCACCAACGTTAACAAATTTTACATGGCTTTAGTCTTTAGTACGAAAAATAAATTAAGTGAAAATTAGAATACCATAAAGTATCAAATGAAAATGCACATACCTTTTAATATGGATTCTGAAAAGATCTTATCTTGTAGATATTCTTCTGTCCTACTGGCGTGGATCTGAAATATGATAATATTATAAAATATAGAATATATAAAGTTTATTTTTTTTAATTTCTATATGAAGTTGAGTGAATAAAGTTATGTCAAGCAATAACAACTTTCGTAAAATACATAAGTTTGTTAGGAGTATAAGTATCTAAATGCAGACGTCGAAAAGTGTTTTTTCGGTCATCAGATTATAAACTGTGCCGCGAACCACTTGCAATTGATTGAAATGCATTTGCTTTGTCAGTCCTTAGGTCGACCTGAATAAGGGCACCGGTTAAAAGCCATCGATGGTCAAGTATACATGAATGATGATTGAGAAAATTTACTTACAAAAGATCCTAAACCACCAAAAACTATACAAGGTCGTTGCAGTAGTTTTCTACTAATCGGCTCTACCGCAATCCGAAAACCTGCATTTACATACGCATGAGTGTTCTACAAATAACAAGATCGTTTTGAGTATTAAAATACGCACCCGTTAACAAGATTTCGGAGTAGCCAATTTGCAGAAAAATGGAAATAAATTTAAATTCTAAAGGACACAAAACTTCTTTCATTCTGTTTCTCTTGTTCTGGTTGACAATCGAAAATCGCAGACAAAATGAGATGAAGCATGTACGGTTGTACTGTCTTGGAATCACTGCTACGGGACCAAATTAAGCTCAAGATGCAATAACGATAAATGAAATGATTCTATCGACGTTTGACAAACAAAGTTTAAGAAAACAACGCACTTACCTGAGATCTAGGCATAATTTTAAACGATCTATAACATGTGTGAGTTGGCAGACTAAAGAGGTATAAAGATGTAATGATTTTGTCTTCCATTGAGATTCCCATAAACTCCACTAAAGAAACAACTAAGGTCTTTCTATTTCTTAAATCTGTCATGTAAAATGCAATATTTTGAAATCTTCACAACCGGCATAATGGTAATCAAAGCTGTGTTGCTTTCTGAACCCGGACAAATTCATATAAACACCGTTTCCGGTTCTGGTACCGAACCACAAAGGGTATCTTAGAAACGAGTAAATCATAATGAATGGATGATTCAGTTATTTCTAACGATTATGTCGGTATTTCTTAGCATTCATTGAACTTCATCAATGGTCATTTGGCTTTTACGGAAAAAGTGGTGTCAGAGGAAGGTTTGTGGTGCGAAGAATCCATAAGACAGTAATCACGGTTTTAAGGGTTGAATGGCAATATCTTACCATATATGTGTATCCTGGCTCCGACAGATTCTAAAGTTGTAAATAAATCAGAAGGGAAATTAGGATGTTCATGTTTGATCATCAGATTACCTGCCCAACAACCTGCCTGGATAAATGATACAAAACCATTATAATTATAAATTTATCATTCGTATACAGCTCATCTGCAACATTCTGAGCACAAATCGTATCTGAATTACGCCATATACTGCAAGATGAGGATGCATAGTCGAAGATTGCTGCTACCAAACAATCTTAAATAGAATACACCTTTTTAATCCATGAAGCGCAACATACAGGTAATACCTTTTTCAGAATAGTAACGATTTGGGGATATACATAATAAAGATTCCATACACATTGTACCTACATTCATTAACAAATGGTCAACGCTTAAAATGTCAACTTACGTTTCTTATAAGTATACTTCCTATTTTCTTCCAATGATCTACAAGCTGTATAAAATAACTAAATCCTGGACAGGTAGAATACGATTGTAATGTTTCAATCAATGAGGTAATATTAACATTAGCTCCAATCTCTAAACAATTTTCTTTCATCTTAAAACAAAGTAATTAAAAGACTGCTATGGAAGCTAACATGAATTTGGATAAACAGATTAAACAAAACAACTATAAAAGCGTAAATAAAGCGTGTGTTGATAAAAATATCAAGTATTGCAAGCTTACGCTTAGACCAAAATTTACCAAGAATTCTGAAATGATGCTGTTAAGAAGGTGATATTCCTATATCAATAATCAAATTTAACGAGCAGATTCCGAAGACAGTGGAATCTTTTATTGTTCAAAGCCTGTAACACGTTGTAGCCTATTTGTTACATTATTCTTTCCAAAAGAACATATTAATATTGTTTTTGTGAAGAATACTAGTAGATAACAAACCTTTATGTCTTGAAGCTCCTGTAACTGCCTTATATTTATATATGTATTGTGTGGTAATTCAGCTTTATATATACCTTTTAATAAAAAGAAGAAAAGCGCAATAATGCTAAAAGGTTTTTCTGCACAAAGAAATTCTTTAGGAGATTCAAGGTATAAGGCAAAAGATTCTATTAAATCTAGTAGTATGAAAGTTAAACGCTTTCAAATATGAGAGAAGTGAGATTAGGTGCCGATTTACTTGTTACATTTTGAAATATTAACTACATAACATAAAAATGTTCAGTTCATAAAACCAGGAATAATCTTTCTATGGACATGACTGTGAAATCTCAAACCATGACCCGATCGGTATATTTACCTGTTGAAGTATTACCAAATACAAAACGATATGGTCTAACATCAGAATCAGATATAATTTGAGGTAATTCATTGAGAGAGGTGGGTCGGTACCATACTGGTCTTCTAGTTATACTGGAAACATCACAACGGGATCGGCATTGTTTTGCTTTTGAGCATTTTGAGGCAGTTTTGCACAACTCCTGAAATTTGAATATACATTATACGACCAATATGTTAAGCTTCTGTAGAAGGATGAGCGATCGAATACGCCCAAACACAAGCTTTAAAGGCAGCTTGTATCGATTCAAATTTACCAACATTTTCATAAGAGAGTAAGTATTTCATGATAAAAAGTAGTATCAGGTGTCTAGAAGAGTACGTACCCTGTCTGGTGCCAAACACCTCATAGCTAAATACATAAGCAATCCTGGTTATTGTATACAAATTGATATATAGCAAATAAGACAGTTTATGCAACTTACTTCTATATCACTGCATTTACCACTACCATCAACTGCAAATGATTTCATGGCATCTAGAATAGGTCTGTAGCCGGTACATCGGCAAATATTACCATCAAAATTGTTTTCTATGAATTCTTTATTGGGTTGTGGGTTTTGATGAAGTAATCTAAATATTGGTGTATTATTACAGTTTAAATAATTTTGTAGGCTAGTTTTTTTCTTACATAATAAATAATATGGGGATATGCTTTATCAACAGTTTTTTATTTCAGCATGCGTAACACTTTTTAGAAGCAATATATAACGTCCGGTTACCCCAAAACTGTCATTCTCAGATTTTTTCAGATGCTTGTATATTTATTTTTAATATACTACACTTCGTTCCATGTGAGCATATGAAACCTTGGATATTAAACGTACATTGATATAATATAATACTAACCCATACATATTCATGACCATTCCGGGAGTACAGTAACCACATTGTGACCCATTATGCTCTGCTATTCTGGTTTGTATTGGATGAGCAACATTGTCCGTGTTACCAAGACCCTCTATAGTCGTTATTACCCAGCCATCCACTATATACAAAGGACAGAGGCACTGTAATGATGGAAGATATAATTCCTGTTATAAATCATCAAACAAAGAATATAATAATTAGTGACAGACGACAGGTCAATAATTATATATTTAGGCGAGTGAAAAGTTTCGTCTCAAGAGTTACAAATTGCTACTTTTGAGACGATGATTTTCAATAGTCAAACAATCTCGAAAAAAATCTACTTCCTCACTAACAATAATGTATCCAATGATTCTACAGTTCGTGGGGTGAGCAGGACGTGGATAACTGGAAAATTGCGAAGATTGTCCGAGAATAGGGACATAATACTAATATTATGTGGTAGCATTATTAGAATATCTGTTCACTTACTGAGTTAATAGAGAATGTATGTGAATTATTTAAATCGACAGTCTGAACAGACACTGTTACAGTACAGGCACCACAACCACCTTCTCGACACATGACCTTGGTACCTTTTAACCTGGCCACGTCTCGTATGTATTCGTTTAAGTTAATTGTGGGTCGAAATTCGTGGTCACATACTGAAACATGTTTGATAATAATGCACATAGTATTAAATAAAGGAAACATTAAACATTCTTGGTCATACACCGAAACGTATCCTTTTACGTAATTATAATATTATCGTAGATGTAAAATGAGCGGGCGAATATCTGACACAACCAACTAACCCCTCTCTCTGAACTGCAACACTGCAACCATTTGCGAATAAAATAAATGTAGGTTACTTGGTCGCCGGCAAACATTTTTTTGTGCGTTTACGCTAAAGACATAAGTGATTCCATGGCGCTGACGCTTTATTCACACCTTTACCACGCTAAAAGCGACCTTAAAGTGCTCCGAGCTAATTTTCCGTAGCAGCTCGGTAAGAACGCTCTCCGATATTTCAACAATTTAAAGATCAAAAGGTCATAAAAATGTGATCTTCCTGAATTGAGGCTTCTCTTTCAGCACCCTATGTAACGTTACGTAAAACTTTGTGGGGTGTAAATGCATGTAAATTCTTGGACCTGTATAAGCATAATGGCTACAATGCATTATATTAATATGTATACTGTATTTTACCTTCGTAAAGCTGTTGATTTATATAAAACTTCATACTGACTCCTTTCTGTTCTTTTCTGAAATATCCGACATTAAATTTGATCCTTCCAAATTCAGAATCTTAATCCGCGACATCTAAGTCGTATCTAAGTTTAGACCACTTAATACCAAAATAGAACACAACATATTATATATCACGTGGAAATTACAGCCCACATCATTAGGATTTATACTCTCTTTTGATCAGCGACCAATTAATATAATAAACCGATATTTTTCGTGGGTACAAAAGGATACTTGATGATGTTGAATGATTTTAGCAAATTGATAAATATTTATGACTCGGTTTTTCACTGAGCTACTGTACCGAGAAACAAATGTTGACGCCAAAGTATGTATTAGTAATCAAAAGGTCGGAAACGGTGTAAAATAATCATGTAAAAGGAGACGTCATACCCACGAACTCGTCTCAAATAAATTTATTAGTAATTTCATTTTTATACTTCTATGGCTTTTAAAATATTTCTCTATTTTTCGGCGAGGTTCATTCTTGGGTGATAATATACTATTACATCGTGCTTGTGCTTGTGCTTGTGGGCAATATTGTGGACAGACGGACATATATTTCTTGGCGGCGTATAAAACTGAAGATGCTTTTTTATCAAACGAGATCGGGAAATCAGTTTCATCCATGTTTTCATGTCCACAGAACAATATGACACTGCAGCAACTAAACCAAGTTCACCAGAAGAATTTTCAAATCTTACGTCGAAAACAAATAAACCAACAACTCATTGAAATGTAAACTTACTCACCAACTCGTCTCAAAACACCCTCATGCCAACGTGTTAAATTAGTGTTGCGCGCCGCTGCCTTTTAGTCGATATTCTAAATGTTTTCGCAATACAGGGTTAAAGGGGCACTATAATTTTTTCGTCGAAATTCTTTTTTGGTTTTTGGTAGGTGTTGGACATCTTCTGAACGAATAAATGCAAAATAAATAAAAAAAGATAAAAATGACTATTCTAAAGTTGCTGCTCACTTAACAATCAGTACACTTCGATTTTAAATAACCCTTTAAAACAAATTCAGTTAGATCAAGTAGATTAATAAATAAGCATATTAATTTAGAATTATTTTCATGTATAATTTATGACGTTTTTGATAATGAGACTTTTTTGATAAGGAGAATTCTGCATACTGCGCCTTTAAATTTATGAACTCATGTCATTTTCATTACTTTATATAGGTCGTAAACTTGTGAACTCATTCAAGTGGAAAATGTGTTCAGGCGAAGGTAAGCATTTAGAGTCAAACTGACTACCGTGCATCAATACTTCACAAATCTTGATACGACTTCCTTATAACGGCTATCATCTAATCATTCGCTCCACTTAAAAATATTTCCAACTGCTTTTTATAATAAGACAGCACTCGTGAATCACTTAAGAGTTTAGGATACTTTTAAGCCCCATTCAAGTTTTCTATATATCAGCCCTCTTACCTTGTAAAAATGGCGAAGCGAAGTAGGGTGAAAAAACAATGAAATAACGAGTATGCGCAATATACTTTTATTTTAATTTGCAGACAAAGCTTATCACATTGGTGACACAATGACATAATTATATTTTTATCTGTAACAAATTAAAAGTGCAGTGACTTGATTTATAGTATGTGAGTATAATAACTATAGTCTTATTGAATTCGGGTCTTTTATATCCGATTTTGAAATTGAGACGTAGCAATTCTTTCAATTGGATCAAAATTTCATTTATAACCAAAACCATGAAAGGCATACGTTCGTTTTCATTTTTATAATTAAGAGTATGCTCTGTTGTGCGAGTTGTTACAATTCCAAAAGGTGAACAAAAAATATTTTTGAGATGACAAAATCAAGGACCGGCACAGTATGTAAAAACTAAAATGTTGAAATGCATAAACTTTAGATGGTTTGATATAGGAAGAGTAAAAAAATATATTCCATATCAACAACCCTATTTGAAATGAAGTCTGTCGATGTCTTTCCAGCTTACAAAGATATCTTAAACGCACGGTAAGATACGCCCACTATAACCTATCGGTCGTTGGTGTTCTTAATAACACAAAGGTGTGTTGAAACAAAGGTATGATTGGTCGAACGGATAGTGAAGGTTCTTATTTAGAAAAGGAATTATTAGTAAGTCAAAAAGATTGAAAGTGATAAATAAACTCAAAACGGAATTTGATAGACATTTAGAATTAAACTGACTCTTATCTATGCCAACTAATAATCGTCAAAAGTAGGCCTTTATTTAAGCTTTTAAACACTAAAAGGTATGATTCTTGTCGGATTTTGACAAAACTTGGTTTTATTATTCAGTACCGCGCTGAAGATTGAATTTTACCTTCTAGAGTTTTCACGAGCTTAAAATTGAACACGTTTTCAAGAACAAGGGCAATAACTCATACTCAATATTATTCAGTATCGCCCTAAAGAGTTCAAAAGAGGTGTATGAATATTGAATATTGAAGGTTGAATATTTCATACTGGTGATTGTTACTGTACTGCTGATATTTTTTTATTCAAAATCAAAGCTGCCAGTGGGCGTATATTAAGTGTATTACCTTGCCTGGCAAGCTATCTTATTTTTTAGTCATGATACCTGGTTAGTCCAACTGATGCATGACCAAATTTGAGACTTTTATGTGATTCTAAGAGGTAGTATTCCTATAAAACAAACGTCAAATGATTCTCTCAAAATCCAACAAATCAACCATAATCATAACATCATAAAATATAGAAATCGATCATTTTGCGATTTCAATACAGATGTTTGGGTTGTATGGTATTTTTAAAAAAATATTTTAAGAAATGAGACAAAAAAAGGAGCACAGAGGACAATTACAGTCTAAAAATAATTATACCATTTGCTATTGGAACAAAAGACAGAGCATTATAAGTAATCCAGATAGACGAGTTGTATCGACTTTTCCCTTTTTTTATTCTAAAACTTGTCGATTGTCGTAAAATGCTTATAGACGTTTTTTGTGTAAAAATGGTATCGTTGTCTGAAAATTGAAATTATCTGCTTCAATTTCAAGTACTAATCGTACTAAGTCAATAATTTGACAAAATAGATAAATATTTACAGTTATAAACAGATAACGACAACCAAAGTAGGGTATTTAAAAAATGATGCGAATCGTGGCATATTCCGATTCGTACTGCGAAAAGTTAAAAACTTTAGCCTTTTTACGCATTCAAATTCATTGACACGTCCTCCTTATTGGCTTAATTACTCAGTATATTGTTTTAATTTAATTCACAATTTATTGCAATTTGTTTTGCGAAGAATAGGACAATCCGTAGGTTATTTTTTGTTGTCTGACACAGTCATACACACATCACTAGACAAGAAGAAGACTTCACTGTAGCCGAACTGTAAGTATTTGTCATTTTGAAAACAAGCTGAAAGCTCTGAATCTTGTATAATCTTTGTATGGGCATGGTATCAACATATTATTCATTTAGACCTACTTATGCATACCATCATTGTCATGTACGTGCGATTCAATCACTGTTTTTTTTTTAAAAAAAAAACTGATTTTTCAACAGTCATCTAAGACTGCGTGCGCAATCAATGGTCGCAGGCTTATGGGATGCCATGGCCAACATTTGTTTACATGCATTGAGTTGTGGATTTCGTCGTTGTTTGTATTCATAAATGAAAATTGTAAACCCAGAGAAAGAAAGCTTTTTTTCTAGGTCCTTACAACATTCAAAATAACTATCAGAGACTGGAATAGGACTCAGAGGTTTCAGTATACTGAAAAAAGAGACAAAAACACTAAAAACTTTTAAATTACATTTTGGTCTTCTGTATCTGTATTGTAATCCACAGGCTACTAACTGCTTGTTTTTTGTTTGTTTTGATGCAATTTTCTGCTTTATTGTGATATAGATATTAGATGAGTCTACAAAATAGCTAGACAGATTTGCTACAAATGGAAAAAAAGATCAAATATTGCAGATTGTTGTTAAAATAAGGAGAGAATAGTTACAAGAAAGTTATTGTAAACAAAGGTTTGCTATATATAGATAAATTAACAATAAGATGCAATATTATTGTATGTCGGACAAATATATTATTGCTTTCATGAGTAATATTAAAACATATTAAGCAAATTATTTTTTTTTAAATAGTAAGTTTATAAGGTAGACATAGTTTGTGTTCATTTCAATAGTATTTAAACTTATCAGACTAGAAGTTGACAGCATGTATTTGTCTATCAGGGCACCAAAGATCATTTAACAGCCCATGGGAATGTTTATAACAGGCAGAAATTTTGTTTTTAGGAGATCCATGTCTATTTGATTTTTATTCTATGAAATTGATAACTGAACTTGAGCTTATTAGTGAGCAGACCTTTAAACGGTCGGATCCCTTCTTAAAAAACTCTGTTAGTTCCAGTGGGTATTTAGAATACATTTCCAAAATTAATTTGTTTTTCAGGGCAATGCCAGATCGACAGGCTTATCTACATCTCAGTCTTTTACTACTGGTTCTTCCACTTCAGTATTTTGTATCCCAGTATATGTCCAGATCTGAATCACAAAGAGACTATGCATTTCGTAGGTAAGTTGGCATATATAGTACCAGGCAAAAATTATTGATGTCATTTGCTGATTTGCATAATATTTCATTAGTGGCACATCACAAGAAAAATTATAAATTAATATAATTTTTTCTTCATACTATACAATTTAAAGTTCAAATGCAATATCAAAATATATCAATAATAAATCCTAAATCCTATTGAAATATTTTATCTATCTGTCCAAATGATTTTAGATACAAAAGGAATGTTGTATGTTATCAATTTTACAATAATAACTATCCATTTTTATTTTAGTTTGCTGAGTAATTTTGTTGGATTTAAAAATCGGTATTTTTCGTGGCAATCCTGGCATAAATGGTGTTTAAATGTAATCGATAAATTCCAAACGAAAGTCGATGGCAGGCCTGATTATGCTGGTAAAGATGACTTAAATGGAGAATCTCCAGCATATGAAGTTTTTAAATATAAAGATTCCAAAGGCTATTTTTCAGGTCAGTTTTCTGTTAGAACAATCAGTGATCAAAGTGAATAGTATGGAGCATTGTGACTACTGGACCCATTTTCATGTATTTATATATTTTGATATTTAACTTTTAATAATGTAAAGCACATTTGAAGATTGGTAGTTAAGACAACCCAATTTATTTTTTTTTTTCATCATTTTTCTGATGAAATATTATTTTACTTTCAGGATCTCCAAATCCTCGTTCCCCGAAGTCATCAGAAGTGAAATTCCGTGTAGGACAAGTTATTAAACATAAAATTTGGGGTTATAGAGGTGTTATTATTGGCTGGGATGAAGAGGCGCGGGTAAGAACATTCTATTAAGGCTAACAATAATTGCCTTCCATAATTGGCTTCAGAGACTAACTGGTATAAGACTAACTTGACACAAACCTGGACATGGACAAAAACATGCATAAATTGACAAATTTGATCATGAAATGCCACATGCTATATTCACAAGCCAAAATAATGATTTGCAGGCACAATCTCAACACTTAAGGGCCAGACTCCGAAAATACTTGTCCGTAAGCATTGTGTGATCCAATTACATATGTACGTGATTAACCATACATAAAGACATAATCCAGCCAATGACTGTCGGAAATACCTTTTCTGGGGATACCCTGACGTCATTCTTACCTTTTTTACATCCGTGAGCGCAACTACAGACAAAAAGATTCTGGGCTTAAGTTGAGGATTTAAATACTCTTTTTACCGAAGATGAATCTTTAGCTGCTTATCCCTGATTATCACACTTATAAGTTATAATATTGATTCTAAGTTTCAGTTAAGTATCAACAGATGAAAGGTATTAAATGGCAGTTGTTGTCTTTTCTTTCATACATTGCAGTGATAAAATTGCACTTCATTCCTTTGTCATGCATCTACATTGTATGTTATTGTACTTTTTAGGCACCAGAAAATTGGTTAAAACAAATGCATCCTAAAGGGAAAGAGGTAAGACTGTGGAGTGATTTTATTACAGTTTTTAAGATGTTAGATTAATGTTAGAGCAAATAATCTGAGAGAACACTAAGTATTGACAAACAAAGAGTGGAATCAGGTGGTCTTGAAGTGAGAACTAAACAGCTGAACTGTTTGTTTAATGAAATCTGCAATGCTTATTGTAGTTTTGCTCAATTTGATAAGGTAATGGTAAACAGCTCATATTTTTAACGAGATTGACCTCAGATGAAGGCATGTCATTTGATGATATTGAGCTGTTCTGCCAAACTTGCCCAGCAGATAGAACCCTGGTATGTCTGTCCGATGACTGACTGTGACCTATTTACAATGAACTGAACAAGTGAAAAAGTTTAATGTCATTATGTTTAATTTCAGCATTGGAGAAAAATGCCAAATTATTCCATATTAGTTGATACTCGTGATAGATTAGAAGCACAAGTAACATATGTTCCTCAGGAAAATATAGAATTATTAATGCATACCAAGGTAGGTTTTGTCAGTTTATTTTTTTGCTCTGTGATAAAGTGTTAAATGCTCTCAAGATAAAATTTCTGAGGCCAAGGACAATGTCTTTCAATATCTATTCGGTGGTTCACAGAAGTTATAAAAGAAGCATAAAAGAGTTATTTTCTAAAATCTCTATGTGTAGCAGGGACATCAATGAACATAAACTAAGCGTTTGATGACTTAACTAAACACCAAGGACCTTGTGTGATAAATCATATTTTGCTATTAGTGACAATCAAATCTTTAATTATTTTAGTGCAATTGCAGGAACCACAAACGTCTGATTGAATATTGGAGTTGTACAAATTGATGCTACAAGACAAATAAAAAATCAAGAAAACCTCTTCACAATCCCTTTAACAGTCACATTATACATGGCTGAGAAAAATATGAACTTGACTCGGCAGCCAGCCAATACTAGGACTGATTATTTCAATATTTTTAAATCTTCAAAATCACAACAAAGGGATTTAACTCAATTGCAATATTTTTTTGATATTGTAGGTAATCCATCCACTACTAGAGAATTATTTTGAAGGTTTTGATGGAGGACAGTATGTATGTCGACCATGGTTAAAGTCAGTTTATCCACATGATAATTAAGTTGTAAATCTTCATTTGGGTACAGATTTCTTGGATCTTGGTGTATGTTCAAACATTCAAGACCATCCTGTTAAAATTAACACATTCATTCAAATTTACACATAGGTTAATGGTTAAGAATTCATCTTGAAAAAATGACATATTCAATCAAAATGGAAGTACCTATTTAATCAAAGTCTCAATGAGGTAAAAATAATATGAGCGTGGAATAAATTTGAAAACACTTGATTAGTACTGATAAATAGTTGTTTATGTGATTTGAATTGATGAAAGCATCGAATTCAGAGATAATATAGGTAAAAATGGAGTGAATGGTGTCAAAGTGATTCATTTTGATGGATGAAAGTCTCAATTTGAATTTAGTTATATCCCTGAAGACATATCAGCTTTGACAGAAATTATAATTTTTTGAAATATTTTACTCAATATGGCCTTTGTGTAATTGATATTTAAATGGAAAACCACCTGTAAAACTGATTGATATTAATGTGTCTCTATTACGAGCCAGGTAATATTGCAAACGCATAACCTCGATACAAAAACAGGAGACTAAACTCACTGCATTGTTCCTTTAAAAATTGCCTGATGTAAATTATGTCTGTTTACATGGTTTGAGTGTAAGAATAGCTGTTACTAGTTCGTTCAAATATGTAGTGTAGTAGTGTAATTTTAACTGCATTTAATTAAACCACATTGGTGTTCTGTGATTTGAAGAAGGATTATCCATTGAAAGCCCTAGAAATTAATAAAAAATTCAATATTAATGTATCTTGCAGGAATAAGATTGTTTCTATATGGCAGATGAATTTTGAAATATACATTATGATAATGATACGATCAAATTATTTGTGATTTTCCTTGTTCTTTTTTTTTTTACTAGAAATGTTTTCTATGGAATCTTGGAGAGGACATTTAACAAAGAAAGTTTCTTTTTATATCTTGGTCACTGCCCATATGTAAACATTATTGGTGGTTGTAACCATGGGTTAATATATTTCTTTTCATCCTCTCCATGCTTCCATATTTTGGTGATAGGATTATATAACAATTTGGAACATTCTCAATATTATGGAAGAATGCATGACTTCAAAACATAAAATGCAATGCATGAAAATGAAAATTTTTTTATGAAAGTATTTTCTGAAATTTTTCACATCCACTTTCTTGTTATATACAAATTCAGTTTTAGGCCAGTAATGTCTTCCATATTAAGATATTTTGTGATGTATATTATTGAGATAGAGTATAATTATACAGGGCTGATAAAGCATAGCATAATATTATGAGTGATTTTCGCATCAAGGTATAGCTGGTGCTACAAATTGGCAGACCACTCCTGCTGACTTGACTTTATAGTTCTAGTCATAATAATAGATGGATTTTTATCTTGAGTCTTTTTTTTTATCATGTAGATTCATGATAGATTTTAATCTGTAAACTGTAAAAACTTTGATTGTCTGTGAAAATACCCACAAATTGCTGGCAATATTCTTTTATGCAGATACTATGAATGAGTTTAAATGTGAACATTAAAATAACTTTATTAATTATGTAAAATGACTGGGAAAAGTATAAAGTCAAAGTTTCAATTGGTTATATTTGATATTTCATATCAAATCATTGTGGTTAAATTGCCATGTTGTTATGTGTTTTACGTTTTTTGTAATATAGAGGGAAATGGTATTTGTTATTGTTATTTGTTATTTGTATATATTGTTATCTTATCATGTAAATAAACATCTTCATCAACAACTTTTCATATCTTTTTTTGCCAATGGTCGCCAAGAAGGTTCTTTTTTTCAATTATGTATATCCCTTTAGAACTCGGTCTCTGAGCTATGGACCTTTTATTTACTCTACCCCTCCCCTCTTTACTCTTTGATACAGTTTACACCTATATAATATGGTGGTCACACTCTAAATAGGTTCGTCTATGTGTGCTCACTCTTCAAGATATACTTTTCGACACGTTCTTTTCATATTTTGTTTGGCTGAAAATAGTTGTCTGAAGATCGCATAGCGTGAAATTCTGAGTAACAACATGATTCAAGTGCTGTTTCAATTTCTGTTATGTTAATTATACAGATGATGATTCACTTTCACGATACATGTATTTTTCATCGATATTCAGGACAAGGCATATTAAGAAATTGACAAGTACCATCAAATTATGTTCATTATATTCATTTTGACGATTTTTGCATTGTTGTTCCACTACTGGGTATTGAAGAAATTTATGATGCTCGAAAAAAAAACATTATGCGGATGTCTAAATATTGGATTTTCCCACACATTGTTTCGCGATGTAGCGGAATCTTGTCTTTTTTATCTTGTGAAATTGAAAATAATCGTGAACGTCATAAATTAAAAATTAGCAGAACTTTTGTTATGTCGCTGTGTCGAAGTATTTGAATATGTTAAGTACTTTCCGAGGTTTGCTGTACAAAATCAATGCACTATTTGAGGGCTGAAAAATGACATTTGAGTTCAATTATATTGCTTTACGAAATGTCAATGTATATCCGTGTCAATGGCTAAGTTGATCATTTGTGGCTTTTGTACCAGTCAAGGTCTCCAAATTTACGTCTTTGCACATGTGGTGATATAGTAAGTTCAGGAACGTGTATAATACTCGGGTATATGAATTTCATTTTTATTTGGTTGGGTTTTTGCAACCTCTGACATTCAATTCTTACAGTCGTGGTTCCGTAATTAGAACCCCAATATTATGTTCGAAAGCCAATTGTCAGAATCACTGAAGTGTGATTGTTAAAGACTATATTAAACGAAGAGAAATAGTGCTGTTCCGGGTATCAAAGGGATAACACATTACAATATACACATACTTTATTAAAATATAATAATTAGCGCATGATAACACATGGTGTATTGCATATAGTGTAAAATTCGAAGCCTCACATAATAATATCCATCAATTATACAAGTTCACCTATTCACATTCAGGAGGAGGACTTCTTATATCAATGCAACATACAACGAAGATATTTCTATGTCAATTCTAGAACACCATCGACCGATACCGGAAATAGCTTAACAAGCAGTGGAAGTACAGGTAGGGCATTTGCAGTTTGCATCACCAATTGTATCCCCACTTTATTTACAAATTTGAAAATATGATTTCTATACGTTTTGGCGTCAAAATATGTTTCAGAATGCACCTAATTTTCTTGGTAGAACTCACAGACGCTGCATTGAGTCAGTCTGCCCCCTATTTGTACCCCCTGTCTCGGAAGACCGGCACCACCACTGTTAATAGTATTAATATTTAATAATGGTGTGTGTTAGGTATACACAGACTGTGAATTAAGGTTTATAGTTCATTCTTATTGTATACAACAGGCTTCTGACAGAAATAACTATTTTGCAATTATTTAAAAACACAATGTCGCTTAGTTGAATGTAAATCATAGAATGACACTGTTGTAACATATTTGCTAATAATTCACAACACAACAGCACAATTATTGTACATATGGCACACTTGCTTACACATAACATATTCTCACTGGCGCCGCACAAACCTGATAAAATAATTCTGTGGTGTAAAGGTAAGTCCTGGATTGGATTTTAAAGAAGGTAATTCGCCGCTTTCTGGCGGTAGAATTTTATATCTTTGTACTATAGAAGTTAAAAATAAATGTAACTCCATTTTAGCCAGACTTTCTCCCATACACACTCTTTTACCTGAAAAATAACATTTATGGTGGTTACTCAAAAATATACTTTTCTATGACAGTTCTATGAGTGGGAACAACAATGTTTAACCCCTATCCTGTGATATTTGTTTTACTTTGGTCTGGGAAAGTACCACTACCATGTATCACCTCAGCTGTACAAGAGGAATAACCTTCGACAACATATTAAAGAATGACTGTTTAATTTTCAATTCTCTTGAAAAATTCGTGTTTTTTTATTTGTTTTTCTTTTATTATCCACTTGCTTTGACAAATAGGTTCCAGGGATGAAAAAATGACCATTCAAATGTGTTACAGATTGCACACAGGAAGACATAGACTAGACAACAGATTTGATAATACCTACCTAAAAAGAAAGGAATAAACTGGTCTGGTTTAACAATTTTTCCTTCTGAATTCAAAAATCTTTCTGGTTTAAATTCTTCCGGATTTTTCCATGCTTCCGGATCTTTCAAAACGGAATGAATATTTGGTATAACGATTGTACCTTTTGGTATGAAGTAATTTTTGAAACCTACAGATTCTGAAGTGGCGTGGGGAACTGAGAATGGTGCAATGTCAGCCATTCTCTGAATTTCTAATGTAACACATTTACAATAAACTAGCTTTTGTTTGAATGCCATGTGTGGTCTTTTCGTAGTTCCAAGATGACGGTAGATTTCCTTGAACATGCGTTCCTGTACTTCTGGATGACGCACTAGGTATATTAGAGCCCATCTTAATGTGGTTGATGTCGTTTCTGTACCACCAACAAACAAATCACCAATAACTTTTACTAACTGATCATCTGAAAAAGAAAGAGTTGGAATCATGTCAGCTTTGGGCGTGCCAAAATTCAAATTTGAACTTGCTTCCTTATTATAAGCCTAAAACACACAAATCTTGTAATGTCGTTATATTCTGATATGTAAAGCTTCTGGTTTTAAGGTGATAGTAGATACAAGGTACTTTCTGTTAATACGACCTTGTTAGCGATAAGTCATGGCTTTTCCAGAAGGCATAACGCGTAAAATGAAAAAGGAAACAAAGCGTGAAATTGATAGAGGCACTGGCGTAGTTAGACTCTTTCCTCCCGTATATTCATTCAGAAAGCAAAACACAGTGGTCGTTATATTTTTTATTATACTTACAACTAAATGTGGTTTCACTGCCGTGTATATGCTGTCGTAATTCTAATAAATAGGCGTCTATAAAATCTCTTACTTTCTCTTCATTAAAACTCTGCCGATGTTCTTCAACTTTTTCTCGAACGAAACCTTGAACAAACTCAACGTTTTCCAGCACTTTATCAAATTTGAATAAATCTCCAGGCAGATATTGAAGAAGAGGGTAGAAGTTAAGAAAAGATGTGCCTCCAACCATTTTCAAATTTTCGTCAAAGATATCTAAGAATTTGTTGAAAAGAGGATCATCGTATTCAAATCTATCTCCAAAGACAATAGAACAGATTATATTTGATATAGCAGTCGGTATCATCCTCTTGGGGTCCACATCACGACCGTTCAGATTGTCTATAACATTTAAAAAACTGTCAATTTCTTTGTGGACTTTATCTTCAAATGATGTTTTTCCAAATCCCAATTGCCTCAAGGCCGACACAGCAAATTTTCTCTGTTCCCACCAAACTAGTCCTGATGTATTTACAATACCTGAAAAGTACATGTAAAATTAAATTAATTATCAATAACAAGATATTTTCATTGTTATAAAATGATTCAATGAATTCATTAATATAGAAATATGAAAACAGGGGTTCGTCGTTGCTCTTTCACGTTGTGTAATCTGTTCTGTTTCATCAATTCTGTTCAGTCGAAGTTTTTATGTTTTTAGTCGATCCAAAGGAGTTATCTGTTAATTTTCTTGTTCAATTGTATTTTTTTTTACGTGATATGTCGTGATTTGAGGCATCTATACCGAAGTTAAATAGTTTATAGGCTGGCTGTAGTGGACTCATTTCATATGATTTCATTGACTATGTCCGCGTTTGTTCCCATTGCAACGAATGCACGTGTTCATTGGGTCAAGAAACTCCTTCTATTTCCTAGCCCTGTTGTAATAAAGTATTATGTTAAACCGAGTCCAACAATGTATGTTGTAAATCGATAGCTCATGAGTAAGCTAACCCGTCCCATCTCATAATATGATCTTCCCTAAAGGTTAATATTCCCAGTAAATATTAGTGCTAATCCTATAATCTAATGGTGACATATCAGATCCTATGTGATATATCTAACAACATTGTATATGAAATAAGATCTGAAGTCATGATGATATCTGATTTAAACCAGACGATAATTATGATGTCACAACTACTTGTCTTTTTGCATCAAGTAACGATATCCGGCCACATTGTTTTATATCCGTTTTATGATAAACGATCTTTTATGATAAACCAATTTTTTTCATATTCATGTGTCTAAGAGGTTGAAGAGTACTTTGAAAATGTACATTTTTTAGCGGATATACACTTATAGTCCAAGACAACCGGTGCCAGGAAATGTCATACAATTGTCTATTTTTACGGCTATAATTATTGCATTATGTTTGAAATAATTACTCGCGGCCTTCTAAAAAACCAGTTACTAAGGCAGGGCAAAAATGATCGTCTAACTGCATAACCGAATTTTACGCTTCTACATATCTATCATTCTGAAATACTTTGATATCTTTGATGCCTTGAGGCTATTGGAAAAAAGCCCGAAAAACTGAACATCTTAGAACTTGATTCGTCCGATTCAAGGACTATTGTCCACAAATAATTATATTTTCATGAAGTTGTGGAAATTACAAACACAGTGTGAAACAATCATCAATGATGATACAATGAAAGTTTTTTTTCAGAGAAATGAATTGTTCACCAATAGCGTATTAATGTTTTTCTGATTCAAAACATTGTAAAGACATCATGTTTTCATGTGATTTCTGCGTTTAAAAATGAAAAAAATGCCAAATTTATTTAAACAATAACTAAAGTTAAATTATAAAACTAAAAGTCTTTGAAGCAAATAACGGCAAAAAAAATAATTTTGTCATGAGATTACGGACAGTTCTACTATAAAAATTTGATTGATTCTATCGGATGGGTGGGGGCAATCTGTGAGAGATCTTTCATCGAAGCCAAGGGAGGGGGGAGGGGGGTTGTCATCCTTAGCTATTTATTTTTCCTGATAATACAGAATGTTTAGATTAGATTTAGATCTGTCAGACTTAACAAGGCTGGGAAACTGGCCAGAGTTTTAAATTTGTTTAGAAATACAATCTCTCTGATGTTTACAATTTATTAGTTCAGTGGAAGAACGAATTCGCTTTATTCCATTTCTACACAAAGCAAAACACCCTGACATTTTAGATAACACTTGTGATTTCAATCAAAGTCTGATGTTTTTATGATAGCTGATGAATAATGGTAGTAATATTCTCTGTCGTTTACTGATGAATATAAGTGGTACATGTCTATATTTTGGTTATAGCTGATGAATAGTTGTATTTTTAAATAAAAAACTTGAAGCATAGCTGTGTAATTTGTTGTATTGTCTGATGATAAATAATTAACATTAGTAGTCTTGTTCTCTGATGATAACTAATGAATAGTTGTAGACGTGTACTCTGATGATAACTGATAAATAGAGGTAGTCTTGTACTCTGATGATAACTGATGAATAGTTGTAGACGTGTACTCTGATGATAATTGATAAATAGAGGTAGTCATGTACTCTGATGATAACAGATGAATAGAGGTAGACGTGTACTCTGGTGATAACTGATGAATAGAGGTAGACGTGTACTCTGGTGATAACTGATGAATAGAGGTAGACGTATACACTGATGATAACTGATGAATAGAGGTAGACGTATACACTGATGATAACTGGTGAATAGTTGTAGATGTGTACTCTGATGATAACTGATAAATAGAGGTAGTCATGTACTCTGATGATAACTGATGAATAGCTGTAAACGTGTACTCTGATGATAACTGATGAATAGGGGTAGACGTGAACTCTGATGACAACTGATGAATAGAGGTAGACGTATACACTGATGATAACTGATGAACAGAGGTAGACGTATACACTGATGATAACTGGTGAATATATGAAATTGAAAGCAATCTATCGAGATCTACAAGTATGACATTTAAAATAACACTGATTAATAGTAAATGTCTGTTTGAGAAAGTTTTGAAACGGGTTATTCTAGCTATACCTTGTACGTGGAGAATACTGTCAATTTTTTTCTCTTTCAAAAGTTTTCCAAATCAAACAGAAACTGACAAAATCAATTAGGTAGACCTGACTGGTACTATTACCATCCTGGATGAAGATAGAATTGAAGTACAGACCAAATATACTCGAAAGAGTAAGCTATACGAGCCAATTGCACTATACAACCGTCAAGATACCGCTTCCTTCAAATGCGAAGATATAAATGTCGATGATATAAGAGTCTTTGGATTAACTGCTAACACTTCGTCATTTATTATATCATCTAAAACTTTTTAAAATGATAAAGAGAAACATTAAACATTATCTCACCTCGCCCTTGTCCGACTTTATCTATAGTAAACATATGTGGTCTGTCTGAAAATACATCGCCTTTTTTCACGAAGGCTTCTTTTAAATTATTTAAACCATTAATAACCACTATTAATCTACTGCCCAGGTAAAAACTAAAAACATCACCATATTTCTCTCTGAATCTCCTATAAACTATTCTACTGTCACCTTTCTTTAGGGAGTTGAGGAAAATCTGTACACATCCAACAAGAGGGATATACGTCGGTCCCGGTGGAATGTTCGGAGGTTTTTTGGAAAAATGTCTCACTATGAGAAGAACTCCCATGAAAATTATCACTGTTGTTGTTTGGGTATTCATAAAACTTAACAAATATTCCAACATTTTGTACTTTTTTCACAAATCACTAAATGAATTGATGAAAGTTTAGTTTAGAAATCACTATTTGAAATGCAGGTTTGGTTCAGAAATCACTTTTTGAAATAAAGGTTTGGTTCACAAATCACTTTTTGAAATAAAGGTTTGGTTCACAAATCACAATATGAAATGAAAGTTTTGATTCACAATTCACTGTGAAATAAATGTTTTAGTTGGAAGTTTGAGCTCCTAAATCTCTTTAAGAAGTGAGGGTTGCAGTAAAATAGTAAAATAAATCACTCTAAAAATGAATGTTTAGGTTAAAACAACACTATATCGCGATAGGCTAATAAGCGGATTTACAAATAACCATCTAAATAAATTGTTTGTTTTGTTAAATCACTATCAGTTCATGTATGATATGATCAAGATTCACAGTTCACAAGCTAAAGTACATATAATGCAGATTATCAAATCACACTAAAACCTGGTGTCATTTGCTGGATTATTGATTATTCAGGAGACATAATATACCATAAATTAGAGTGAAATAATATGACACAACACAATAATGTCAGTACCAGTAGTATAATATGCTATTGTTATCTAATGACTAGATATTACTCCACCGTAAATTCACGGTATGTTTTAACATCTCTACTTCGTATTCAACTGATGCATTTCACATTAAGTACTTTCTTTCATAGATGTACATTTCGTGTAATTCCACAATTATATCCGCTTTCGATTCTCAGCCATACGTCGACTTGAAGCGTGTGTTCTTAACCACAACACATACAATACAGTTCTTCCCAGTCTAGAGTTGAGAACGTCTTTAAATAACCTCAAGTATGTAAGCTATGTCAAAGTTCCAATTCTTGAATGAATACTGGTGAGAAAATTTCTCTTCCTCGTTTCCTTAAAGTGGTCAATTAAAGAAAGGCTTGACGCAATGTCCTTAATTCTTTTATGTCGAAAATGTTCACATTTTCTACGTTTTAGAAGTACTGACATATGCCCAACACTGAATCCTTTAGTAAAGATATCATTCTATCCAGAAATGATACTGAATTCCACCTGCTACGTTTTGGTTAAGATGTTGAATTATAACCCGCTGTTAAATACTCGTTCAAGATTATAAGAGGTTCCAGTAAAGTTCAAGGTACCAGTTGTGTAACAGTGTAATAGTAGATAGAAATTGATGTGAAACACACGTTCTGTAGTTTAATCGGTGTCTGGAAAACATAAAACATGGTAATGTATAATGTAGACAAATGATAAGATTAAATCACACAGTCAATTGAATGAATCATGCTATTGTAATTTGGTCGTGGAATCTGAATTTTTGCTGTTCCTAAGTGTGCCAACAGCGGTACATTATCGCCCAACAGACGGCTATTGAACTAGCCGGTTACTACACGATTGCTCCTGCTCATTTTGTGAAATACCGATTGTCGCAAACAGTGCTAAATAAAATTGGTAGCTTTTGATCAGAGCACAAGAGACGGATGCGTAATAATAATGTTAAATTTCATTTTTTATAACGTTGTGCATTATACCTCAAATTATTGCTAAAATATGCTATTTACTTATTAGAATATATTAGCTACTTGATATAACTGATTTTTTTAAAAAGTGGTTATTATTTTTAGAATAGGTAGGAGACTTATTTCTATACAATCTAATTCGTACAATATTTTTCCACCACCAACCAAGGCCGTTAACGAAGCGAAAGGGAAATACAAAATACAAGATTTTTTTGCATTCCAAATAAGCTGGACCAGCAATTATAGGCACAAGTTGAAGGTAACAATTGTGTGTCTGTATTTCATGACTTGTATCAACATCAGTGAAATGATGCTATTTTTTTAATTGTGAAGAAGGACTACTTCTCGTTTCAAATGCAAGCATACTGTGCCGTATTCCTTTAATACGCGATCAAGTTAATGGAGTAAAGAACTCTTCTGATTCGGGAGGTACAACGAACTCGGTAGAACCGGAAAGACATTGCAAAACATCAAGTTTTCTCAACTAGTTGAATTTATCGAACATAGCCAGTCCTTCGGCAACCACCGTGTGAGAAATCTGTTGGTAATTGATCAAAGGAACTTCGAAGTGCTTACTATTACCTCCATGAGAGTTTCGCTACGATCGGAATAATAGTTTTTGCGAACTTTGAGTTTGAGACTTCATATGTCATTTAATCGAACTTTCAAACTAACATTTCCTTAGTGTAACTTTTGTGTTATTTTGTATTTTACAGCTTTTTACAATAATGATCGTCGACTTTGAATAAAGTTCTGAATTTAAGAAGTTCCGATCTTGTTATCTATCTGTTAAGCCATACCCTTTGGTGAGGACAGAATATATACCATAGTTTATAACTACATCGTTGGAGACCATTTGGTTTATCTCATTAACTCCTATTAAGTTATATCATATATTTTCATAAAGGTCAGACGTTTATAGTGTCTGTGGTCTATCTTGATATATTATATGGTCTACAACATCAATATTTCAGCTACAGGGCCAGTTTTAGTAGTTTTGTTTGTGCATGGTTTTCTTAAAAGTATTCAAAATATTCATAGGAAACATATGTAACATAAATCACATATTGCCTGTAGGCCCGTGAACTAGTTTCTAACATCTGTGTAAGTTGACCTATCTGACTCATCTTTATTATATTAAAGAGCTATTATAGTCCTCATTTTGCACTTTTAATACCGGTATTTCTGTGCATGAAATTCTGGCATCACATTCGTCTGCACTAGAGAAAGGATATAGCTAGCAGAAATTTCACCATTATTTTCTCATCCCATTTCGAGTAGCTCTACGGTAAAGTTTAAAAGTATGAAAAACCCGTTTTAAATTCAAACTGCGTTACAATGGTTCCCAAATGTTACAATACCCTTACAATGAACAGGTCACATTGGACAAGAGCTAAACAAATTGACCAAACCCCAAATCCACGTGTGTCCAGAATTATCCGCGTACATATATAGAAAAATAAAAGTGAAATCCTAGTTTGACGTATTTTTTGCGATGTCTGTACATTTCTAGTACTTCTGATCTGAAGACTATTTACATAAATCAAAGACCCCTGACAATTCCGAACGCCCTTAAACATGTACAAGTATTTTGTAGCAAAATCAAAGTAAAACATTACGTCGTAATTATTATTAAAAAATTAACAATATCACATGATTATAATTAATGATAATTAAGTACACTATGCTAATGAGGTTCTTTGATCACAAAAAATCTTGAAAATTATAGATATTATGTCTACATGAATAATTTATTATAGTTCCTAATGTTATTATTCAATCGTATTTCTAGAAAGATCGCATTAGAAGTACACCTTATTCAATAACCGTCAGATTAAGTGGACTGCAAAACCATGAGAGTAAACACATTTACAATTTTAGTATTTGGCAGTATCGTAGAGGGGCAAAGGCGCTCAGGGAAATGTGTTTAAGGGTATAGGAAATATTCATACAAAATAGTGTTTATCGGCCAACTTTTCGACTAGAAAAAATATAGACCATGTAGGACATTATTTACGATGGTCAAGTCATTTCGTATATTGTGCTACAAATTCAACTTTCCTTTCTACATCGTCATAAATTTAGGATGGGATGAAAAACAAAATTGGATCTAATCCAACAGGAAAATTCCAAAACCAATAACCTTTTAAAACAATTTTGTTCAAAATTACGCTACATTACATGCGTCATATTAGATAAATTCTCATCCGGTTCTGCGAATTATATCTTTTTCTCTGTGGTAATTTACTTACAATTAATGGGACGGAAGTTCTCATGCATCCTCCTACCTTATATTCCTTGATAGAGAGTAAACCGGAATCAACTTCCAGTCCCCAAAAAAATATCATTAAAACTAAACTACAAACCTCTGTGAATCATTGGTGCTTTGAGTGAGCCAATCAGACGCTTGCTCGACCATGTGCTACAGGCTGTTTAAGGACTTGTTAAGAAGTTCTAGTGACGTCATAAAACACTTAGTTTTAGTGGAATTGCAGAAACCACAGAGGTCTAATTGAAAATTGGAGTAGTGCAAATAATAAAACTTCTTAACAATGCCTTTAAGTATTTTTGTGATTGATGGAAATCAAAATATAGTGACTCTGTCAATAGCCATCCGTTCCATTGTACATAGTATTGTCCAATATCATTAGCTCAGTTAAGATCAGAACAGTAGGAAGTAAATCTTTTTTTCTAGATAATTCATTTCATAACACATTATACATATTGTATAAAGCTTCACAATGTTATTCAATCCCTGTCACCTTCTATATACTATGAATATATTGTAAACTTGAATAAGGTTATGCAATAAAATTCACAAAGACTCAAAGATGAAGTTTATTACATAAAGGTGCCCTTACACGAGAGCGATTATGGTTGCGTATGGTTGCGAATAATTAAAAGTTTTATTAGAGTTGCGTTCGAAATGTATGACCACTATTCTTAATCGCAAATATAATTATGCAACTGGTGATCGCTATGGCGTGAGGGCACCTTTAAGTAGGCTACATTATTGTTACTCAAAAAGCAATGATCTTATTTGACTCGATTTCTATACACAATAAAACAGAAATAAATATTATTCTTATAGTTTTAAATCAATTCAAGTTTGTTTATAATATGTAATATGCTTTGTTTATAAAAGAAGAACATGTATGGTGCATGTATACTATACTTGATCAGGAATTAACAGTATAGCCAATTACCATACTCCGAAATTTCACATTTTTATAGAATTCCAGTTTAAATTAAGAATTGCTCGAAATAAATTTCTTCTGTCTTCCGTATACTACGATGGCTCATTTATGACAAATTTCATTTTTCGGTAAATCGGTAAATCTCTAATGCAAATTTGGACGAGACTAATATTTAGTAGTGATTGTGAGAGACAAACAGCGTTTTGATTTCCAGAAATATCCCCTTTGTCTATTATCTTTTTTACTTCATGAGTTGTGTTTTGAATATAATGTACATATAGGCTTTAAAAGTACTAGAAATGTACGAAAAGCGCATAATTCAAAAATACCCCTAACTAGGAATTTCACTTTCTATGTCCCTTCTATATAAAGCAGGGTCTCTAGATCCTGTAGCCTGAGACGGTACGATTGGTCAAACGGAACTAGCTGTCCATGTTATGGATAATGAGGACGTGCAATGCCATGCAATGTGCAATGAGGGAACATTTGCCAGGACGCAGCATTAGCCTACTCTTTAGATATTCTTCTTTAGGTGGGTTTTTAGCAATTAACATGTACAGCCAATTCGAACAACTAGAAGATGTTGTCCCTTACAACGTGCATCACTGACAGAAAGGAACCGCTTTGAAAATCCCAAGCATTCCGTAAGAAGAATTGAGATAATGATATAATGTATGTAATTTATATCTGATGCAAGGGTTACTAATAGTGTTTATGAAAGGTTACATCAACTATAATGCCAAAAGTCAAGACAAATTAAATTCAGTATGCAATTAATGGTGTGTTGTGAAAGCCTCGTTCAATTTTCAGAAGCCATTATATTCCTAGTTGTATAACTTGAAACCGATGCTTTGTGACGTCAATGATTGAGTGTAATAAGGACGGTATTTAATTTTGTGATTTACCGATTATCATCTTATTTGTCATCTTACCCTCTTATCACGAGCCGATCTTCTTATTATTCAATATGGTCGAGGATATAAATATTAAAGAGATTGTAAAGAGGTTTCTAAAAAGCGTCTAAAAGCTGCTTATAATATCTAAGGGCCTTCAGGGAAGCCATAAAACGCTTGGTATTCAGCGAGACGAATGTGAGCCCTATACGGCTAAGCTTTAATGCCCAATTGGATAATATCTAAAAAAAATGAATAGTCCAATATCGTTTTCATAATATCCCTCACTGCACACTGAAAGTAGTTATCTGTCATCACTTAATCACATCAGTGGTAGGGCATAAAACTTTATAGTTAATCAAATATTACAGCACATGCAGCTTCTCGGAGAACCTATTGATTTCAGATCTGCAGACAATCTAAAGGGAATAGTATGCTTGCTCTTCCAGAACACCTGATGCCACTCTGTGACTATGCTGAGCAACTCAACATTCTTATTATTAGAACATCTAACTAATAATGTGTATTTGTTAAAGGCATTTTGTTTGGTAATAACGAAAAGTTAGAAGACACCTTTTAAGAGTGACTTAAGTATATTATTTTACGAGCTTTCCATGTTGTGGGGACGACTTCATCAGATGAAATGATTTGGAAAATATTAACGATGTAGCCTAACTACGGACGTTAAAACATCATAACTTTATGACAACAATGAGTGATACGGCGTTACATTTAATTCTGCATTTTATCGAAATTGAAAATTAATTTTAAGACTAACCTTATCAAGGACTGCGACTCAAATTTGAAAATATAAATTGCATTTAACATGAACAACCCCTCAGTTATCTTATACACTGCGCTTAAACATTCTCCGATGCTTTATATATAACATATTCATCCCTAGATTATTGCCTAATTCTTGAAATATTCCATGAAAAAAACAATCCCATTCCAAAGTTTAATATGACTCTGTGTGAGATGCAACCAATGAAAAAGACGGAGGTCTATGGGTTTTGTTATATGTAATAATAGGCCTAGTTTTAATTAGTATAGTTCTTAATTAGAACAGGAAGAAACTAAATACACTCGTTATAATCGACTCGTGCCTCTTATTTGATTGTCTACATGCCATAATATACTTGTAAAAAGAAACATGTTTCATGAATTAAGTGTAAACCAGTGTACTGGCATAGAAGCAAGATGATTACTGGTATTGTTTTTGGGTTTTGGTGTAGAAACATAACTTAGTTAATGTTTCATTACACGGAATAAATGGGTTACTCTGGGTCATTTGACATTATTTCTAATTTGATTCTGCCTAAGTTTTTGATTGGCTTTTAAAGGTCTGAATAAGAACTCTTCGTTTCTAATAAAACTTCTCGATTTGATTGAAGACGAACGCTGCTGTTGGAGAAAGAGGCTTTGAATGTCAATGACAATGTGATCGAGGTGCAGTTTTTTGGTCTAAGCTCAATGAATTTTGCAGCGTCTCAGACTTTGTCCAACAACTGCTAGATGTATGAAACGCGCAAGAGATCTCTTTTATGTAATTTATGACGAAAAATTACTTTTATCTGACCAATTAAACCATTTTTTCTGAATTTCTATTGTTATTTAAGCTCCGATTAACGTCAAAAAGTCGGGAATCAAATTACAATTTCCTGTTCACTTCGATCACCTCTCTTCGTTAGTCGTTGAGACTTGGTAGGCTATGTCATCGAAAGGTGTTTGTTGATTGTCTTGTCACCATCTTTCTTTAACGCATTTAATTTCTGCCAAATTAGCCTCAAGATTTATTTTAGTTTTATCTCAAAGCAGCTAATTACACACGTCATTGAGCAATGAACCACGAATCGCAGTTGCAAGGATTTAGATGACTATCCGCCGTCTGATTAGCGGTTACTGTGGTGGTATTCTTATCTATCATGATAGCCTTGGTCAATTACCAAAATTGATGATTATCGTCAACGCTTTATGATATTGTGTCGTATAAAGCTCAGTCCTAAAACTACCAATGTACACTGTAATCCGAACTTCTGAAAGGTAAGTCTCCTTTGAAAAATTACAATATATTTAATCTTTGTTCAACTTTTTCCTGTTTACGTTAAATCCTGAATTGAAAATAAATGACAATATTGAATATGGAATATTTTACTAGTTGCCAAAAATGAACTGATAAGTTACAATAAAACTTACTGATAAAGCTTGCATATTTTTATTTTAAAACGAGTATTAGAGGATTGAGATTAAAATAGTATCATCTTATGTCTTAAAATGGAGCATATGATAGATTTAGTCGTCATTTTTACTGTGACACGATTTTGTCCTTGTTCTAGAATGTTCAGGTACCAAGCTTTTATAACTTAGCATGTAATATCATGCCCTGCAAAAGAGAAATAATTTTGGAACTTTAGACCTTAAATTTGTTGAAATTGGTTGACCAGATACTTTAAAGATCTCAATATATGGCATTGTGTTCCACAAAGTTTGTTTTCAAAATGAGAATGAATATTTTTTCCATTACAGGCATGAATATGAAGTTGGCAATTGTATTTGTAGCCATTTGTTTGGTTGGAACTGTATTAAGTAGACGATTTCGTCCACGGCGTAAACCCAGTAAGTATATTATATTAAAGTGCTCGTGACTTAAAAAATGGGTGTACGCACGTACATGTATAATATATGTATTACAAAATTATTCTTATTAGATTTCTTATTGCATTATATTATTAAACTTATTCATGTTCATTTTCATTAGTATTTTACTGATCTTTAAGGAATATCAAAACAAAAATTGATGTATGAATAAAAAAAAAAACATACCTTTAATACCAATATTGTAACGCGTTATTCCTAAAAGAGCAAAGGATGGAACTAAATCTTCCATGTCATAAATGCTAATTCTGTTTGCTGCTATGAAGAATGTAATAATCTACACAAATTACATTTTATAATTATTTCTTGAGAATGTATGAAGGCTGGTCTTAAGAAAAAAAACATTATGTATTAGGAAATCAATATTCTTTCTTTTTGTCGAATAGCCAAGTTTTGTTTTTTTCCAAAATGTTTCTATTCTTATTTGTAGAGTGTAACTATGGTTTACCTGTTGTTAGTCCGTGCGATGCAGACAATAAATATAATATGATCATCTCCAAGGCTAGTGGTACAGAGAACTGTCCAGAAACCATCGTTGCTGATACAGGCGATTGTCTTGCTGGTGCTGATGGTAGCTTGGTGCCTGCTAGGAAAGGCGGTGCGAGAGATTCCAATTGCATGTACACAGTTCCTGATATGTCTCTACCAGCCTGTGATCCCGAGACCAGACGTTTTACAGTGGAACAGTCTCTTTTATCTGGTGAAGAAACTTGCCAGAAAACAATTGAAATACGAGTTCGTTGTATTACCAATAGTTCAGGCAATTTAGTTGCAATGCCAAGATTTCCTTCTGGTAGACGTCACCCTTCACCTAGAAGACAGGACATGAGGTTTCAGAACACCAATCACAGGGGTTCGAGGCCTTTGAGAAGAAATCATAATTTTGGACAATAAATCTATTCATAGTACGGTATCTATGACTTGCAGAATTGACAACAATTTAATAAAAATCGATTTCAATTTTACTGATATCAATGTTAATTTTCTCAATATGTATCAACGAGTTTTATTCAGGAATTATACGAATGTATCCCTTTAAATACATCAGAATAATAGAACAAAATATTTCAAATATTACGATAGTTATTCAAATAAAAGTCTTATTTTTATGCAGAATATGATATGAAAATTTTTGAATATATTTTCCCATGTTTTATTCGAAATAAATATTTCTCTTGCAATATACTTTGTGTGGGTCATTTTTTTTTTTTAACAAACCAAGCACCTTATTTAACCAGGACTACTTCTCGAACATAGCCTGTTAAATGACTAAAGCCTATCCATGTTTTTTGGCAGTAGAATTATTTACATCAAGCTATGAAAACATTGACTTCCAAGTTTATATTGTGTTGGCCAAGATTACATAATCTTCACAATTGAAAGTTTCTATTTAACTTGTCGACAGCAAGATCAATAACAAAATCATAAGTTTGTTTCATGATTTAAGAAAAAATATTAAGGCTACTCAATGAAACAGTTACTTTTGATATTTAGTCACTTATATTATTGACTTCTTGTGAATTAAATCCTGAACACTACCGAACAAATTCGTGTACAAGTTATTTCCCTTTGGTTGAAAATTTACAAATATGCTATTTAAGCTCGAACTTGACTCAGAGTAGGCTACCAAGAATATAATATAGTCAGAAATAACACATTATCACAAGCTACTAATCCAATGTAGCCAGGGCTTAGTGCATGCCCCCAAAAATCAACAGGCTACAGTAGGCCTTGTGTGTGTGTGTAGCCTAGAGTATTACAACTTTACCAGTCTATGACTGTGTACAGATAAATTAAAAGTAGTCTGTTTTAGTGAATATGAATGTAATTACCCCCCTTTAATATAGCTCTCTAATTTGTGGGTTTGTTTACCTGTGTAAATTTCTAGAATCTGAAAAGTGACCAGCCTTATTTTCTTAAAAAAAAGTTTTCAAAATGGCAGAAAATAATGATTTGAATAATCAAGAAAATTTGAATGAGGATAACGAGGGTCATGCCACTACAGAATCAGTTTGTGAAGTTGTAGTTGTGGATAGAAATGCTGTCGACTTGGATTTCAACCAAAGTCGAATAGCGAAAATTGAAAATTTGGAAAACTTACCAAATATTGAAACATTGTGTTTTCGACAGAATTTGATTAAGAAGATAGAGGGACTGTCAACGTTGGATACTCTAACTGAACTTGATTTATATGATAATCAATTAGAACTTATTGAAAACTTAGAAAGTTTGGTGAATTTAGAAACATTAGACCTTTCTTTCAATAGGATTAAAACTATTCAAGGCATTGATGGGCTTACCAAATTGAAAAAGTTATACCTCGTGAACAACAGAATAGAGAAAATTGAAGGAATTGGAACATTGGTTGATTTGGAGATGCTTGAACTGGGTGCCAACAAAGTTAGAGAGATAGAAAATTTGGATAACCTCTCAAAGCTTCATAGTTTATTTCTTGGTAAAAATAAAATAACACAGTTAAAAGGCTTGGATAAATTGACGAATTTAAGATGCATTAGTATCCAAAGTAATAGAATCCTGAAACTAGAAGGGCTGAATAATTTGATTCATTTAGAAGAATTGTATATCAGCCACAATGGAATTGAAAAGATTGAGGGTCTAGATAAAAACATTCAAATCAACACTCTAGATTTATCCAACAACAGAATCAAGAAGATTGAAAATATCTCACATTTGATGGAACTGGCTGAATTCTGGTTTAATGATAATCAGGTGGAATCATGGAATGAGATTGATAATCTACAGGGTTTACCACATCTAGAAACAGTCTATATGGAGAGAAACCCTGTATGGTATGGTGAAGATAAGAAGATCTCTCCTCATTATAGAAGAAAGATGACTTTAGCTTTACCGAAATTAAAACAATTAGATGCAACTCTACTTAAATAGATCAAAGGTTATTGTTTATTTGTTTCAGAGATGTATTAAATTCACTGTACTGGTAATTGTCTTATATCCCCGGTACCTTTTCAGTTATGACCAGATATCACGTCACAATTTCTCAAGAGATTTTTTTATTTGCCTATAAGGTACCATAACAATATATTGTTGTTGTTTGGTAACTGTTTCTAATTCATATTCAAATCTTCTTGGTAAGCTTTTTCTCATAGCAGCTATAGCTGCTTTAGAAAGCAGTACTTTAAGCCTTTTATTACTGTGTTCTATCTGCCATTTCATATAGTGACAGTAGTCATACCGGTACCTATGATCTGCTAAGCAAGTGTGTTTATGGTATGCAACTTGTGTTTTTCTTACATGATTAATATATGCAAGCAGCATTTCATGTTTCATTAAGGGGCCTATTTCTTCAATACATTTTGCTATCTTTCTCATGCTCCTGCTGTCAGTTTTTCTGGAACTGTTGTCACAAAATGTTTTGTTTTCCCTTTAGTCAAATACTGATATTACAAGCCTTGCTCAGTAGTTAACACAACACTATGCGTTTTGAAATGTTCTGCTTTAAGGAACGCAGGTTACATGAATTCCATAGGTATAAAAATGTATATGTATTTTAAATTTCCTTATCATTTTCTATAAAGTGCTATTCATTTCATTTTTTGATATTTATTTCACAGAAACTAAAGGCCTGGCACATAATTGTTCTCCCTTTTCTGTTAATGAATTCATCTTATGTTTTGAAATCCAGTATTTCTATAAATTAAAAGAATCTATTATACAGATTGATGAAATGTTTTATGTCATTATTTCATATATGACTTTTTATTTCAGTCATTGCAGTTTAAGTTCTGATATGTGCTAGTTTTATATTTTTAATATTACATGTATTAAATTAAAATGTTGATGTATTTAACATGGATGCAAAATGTTTCACATTAAATTTTGAACCATATGTTCACTTTTTTTATCTTGGTCATTTGTTGACTAGGAAAGTTGCACAAATGCTTGCTAATCATAGGTAATGGCCACCTAGTAACCAAGCATAGGTCCTTCAGATTTAAAACACAATTTCCCCGGTCAGTGATGCAGGTTGGGGGTCGCTGATGTGAAGATGCCCCTTTCAGCTTGAGCAATGAATGTCATGTTTTGCCCAACTGAATTTGAGCGAGATGTCCTGCTAAGCTTGAGTGATCGTATCCCATTGTCTTTAGTGACAATATCCCACTCAGCTAGTGCAACAATGGCTCAACTAATGTGATGACATGACAAAACTGAATCTAGATGTCCCACTCACTTGAAGCGTCATATCCCTCTAAACTTCAGCAAAATGTCTCTGTGATTGGTCCAATGAGGGAGATGCTTCAGCTGATGATGGTATCACTAATCTTCATTGATGACTGTTCCACAAAACTTGAGCATGATGCCTTACTCAGCTTAAGTGATAATATGCTCAATAATTGTGAGTTTTGAAGTCTCTCATACTCAAGTAATGATGGCTCTGGGAACTTGAATGATGATGCCTTATTTAACAAAACAAACCATAAGTTAAATAAAGTACCACAACTAATTGGTCTTCGTGAAGATTCCATTAGGCAATTAGACATTAACTAAAGAATACAAATGCAACAACAATATAGGTTCAGTTTATTGCACAATAGTAAAAATAAGACAAAGCATTCCACAATAAAAACAAATAAAACAAAGCAACATACCTCAGACTAGAAATAGAAATTTCTTTCTTATTTAAGGTGCTCTCACACCCTAGGGTTCACCAGAATAAAAAATGGTGGTCATGAGTTTCGAATGTAACTCTAATACATCTAATTTGTGTTTGTATTTCATGACCACTATATTTATTTGCAACCATAGGCAACTGATGATTGCTATGGTGTTCAACATATTTTTACTTATACATCTTTCAATGCTATTTTACTTATTAATGTATCTGTCACAAGTTTTTCAATGTATCTTAATATATTTTGTATTGTTCATTTTCTATCATAGAGTTTTCCTTTCTATAAGACCCACATATTAGTTAAAAGAAGTTTACAACTTATAAGCTAAAACATAAAGAAACCTGAAAAAAGAGAAACTGGTAAATAACAGTCTATAAAACAAAGTTAAGATCCACAGTTTGTCCTTCACGTACATGCACTATATGAGATTGTTGACTGCCATCAATATTAGATCTAGCTGATACAGAATAAGATCCTGGAGGTAACATCATATGAACATCTTCAGTTGTATTACTGCTGTTCTGAAAAATATTGATATTTGAATTCTAAATTGAAACCTTTCTACTTTAAAATTGGTGTCAAGTATTATATGAATAGGATGGGTACAAACAGGGGGCAGCCCGACTAAATAGGGGGACAAACATTGAGGTTGAGATTCAAAAGGCAGCTTGGTGAAAGTGCATAGATGCAACCCCACTTTGGAGCGTCTGAGAGGGTTCTCCCTAATAAAAGTTTCTGATAAATAGAATCGACACATATTTTGAAATTTGGGACAAAAACCTATAAAAACTATCTCCCTTTGTTTACAAAGCAACACCTAACAAAATGTGCAATCCACACATAATACATACAAAGCCAAAAACAATATTTAATTCTTTACTTTTCTTATTTTCTGTAAAGTTCTTGGATTATGATATCTGCTACAGTGTCTTAGATCTTCTGTTGACAAACTTAAACAACCATTATAGTATTTCTGCAAAAGATTTAGTCATTTTAATTGAAACACCTTTCATTATTGAAAATACTAGTCATCTTGAGCATTCTTAACTTTCTTCCTTACTAAAAGTATTTTTCAGCCACAAAACTAACTTGAATTTTAAATGGCTTGTCTCTACAAGGAGCTTTACATCCCAGCTTTCTGTACCTGACTGGGCTAGGCAGATCATCAATGCAGAATAGTTTGACACATCGGTGACAAAGGTTTACAGCTGTTTTATATCTGAACATTCTTGAAATTTATGTCAAATTTCAATGAATTTTCTACTTTTTCTACTTTTCAACTAGCATAACTGACAAGAGAGGAAAAGGAGTTGAAAACACATATGTCTGGATAGAACTTCCTTACTCAAAGTTTGGCAAGCCCCCATTTGTTAACTGCAGGGGTAACTAATGAAGCACCTTCATACATATTCCATTATTATCTCAGGGTACACACTATTTTAACATCCTTCATTCAATATATTTAGTCAACACCAATAGCATCGCCTACCTGGCAAGAATGAGTTGCTGTGGATAACATATTTTCAATTGAAGAAAAGGCATCATCTATTGTTGAGTAGCGAACAGCACTCTTCTAGAAAAAACAGTTTTGATATATGTTAACATTAAGTGTATTAAAGAACATGCATGCTCAATCCCACAGCCATAGGTTCTCATTATTGCTAATGCTTTCATAAATGTCAAAATGGTTTAAATTTCTACTAAACAATTTGTATGATTAAAACAATACTTTTGTAGAACACTGATCTTGTCAGCTCACACATAAATTCATTTCAACTTCAATAACTTAAAACTTATTTTATCAGTATTCAGAATTCAAATATTATTATAATATCTTACAAGATTTTCAAATGCCCTGTTAAATGGGGGCAATCAGCAGGTGCAGGGGTTTAAGCCTATTTAGATACCCAGGTATATTTGGAAAGATGAATATTTTTGTTTTTCAATCATACCATCATTTTCTCCCTAGTATCGGCCATTTAAAACTGCATGCACAGCCCAAAGTTCAAGTCATGTGATGCCCAACACTAAACTATAATCATCTCAAAGATAATTCAATATTATGTTAGAGAAACGTATCTCTGGAGGTGTGGAATATCCCCATTTTACAAGGTCTTTTTCTTCTGACTCTATGCCAGTTGATAACTGTCAAAATATCCATCAGAGACTGGAATGATGTTTCGGACTAGAGTACAAAGACAGAAATTACCGTTTTCTTTTGTTTTGTTACTGGTTCTGGCCAGTCAACACGTTGGCTCCTAGCTCTATAATAAACATCATGACCTAGTGTTGCTGAACGTTCTAGTGTATTTTTTGCCCATAATTCTCTCTCCATTTTCACTTACCTGAAATAATATAAATTTCATTTTTAATGAGAAAATTGTGGCCTCAGCCACTCAGTTCGATTTTTCTAATATTTTCTTTTCCATAAAACTGCGGAAAATAAAGTAAATGGATCATTTCTAAAAACCCGCTTAATTCCTATAAGCTTAAGCTTACCCCATGGACCTCAATATAAAAATGTTTTTCGAATTCAGAACTGTGATGATGTTTCTCAGGGGATTTTGTCCATTTATTCACCTCAAATCCACAAAACCCTGAACTATATTCTTTTAGTTCAGTCATACCATCAGCATCACATCAATATCTCTCTATAGTGTATAGTACCATACTGGTACATCATTAAGCCTTTGTAATGTTACGTCTGTGCTTCCATCACAGTTTTTTTTAATGAAAATAATCTCTTGCTGGCCATGTCATCAGGGGGTTTTATAGAATCTAGTCCATATACTGGACATGGCAAATGTTGCATTGCAGATGTTTCGGACTATCAGTCATTCGTGTCCGTGGCAGTCGGGAGGCAAAAGAAAGATGATGAGATATGAAATGCTCTTTCTTCAGACATGATGTGATTAAATTCCCTAAAAATAACCTTCATTGTTTATCATATCATGTAAAGATTTGAAGACGATTGGCTAGTAATTGAATAATTTCTCATCATAACCTGAATGTCAAGAACCAGTTTCTGTTTTTCTTCAAATCTTCCGCTTGTGTAATGCGCATGTGTATCACGAAACGGAAACGGTGATTTAGGATTCAGACAACCACTTATGACAAGTCTTGCTATATATAACTCTATGGTTAGCCTCAATGACGTCTTTAAATTTATAGACGACATTGGTTGACCTACTCAATGTTTGAATGAGTTCAAGAATAGTTTCATAATCTTATCGGCCATGTCGCTGTACTTTGGGTTTGACTATCCAACAATTCGATATTTAGACACAGATTGTGCATGGCGTGCTGTGATTGGTTGAAATGAATGTCAACAGTACAATATTACAATGTGGACCGACCATAAATAATAACGAAACGTAATTGTAATTCAATTAGAATGAAATAGAAAAGACATATAAATATTAAAACAGAACATAAAAAACATGTTGTTACTCGGAGTTTCAGGCTATGCGATCTTCAGAGTAACAAATTTTTAGTAACAACTCCGACTCAGACCTGTAATTCATTTGCCATCTGTTTCCATGTTAAACCACGAAATTCAACCTTCTATAACTTTTTACAGAAAACTTGAAATTTTCCGATAAGTCACATGAAAGCGTTGCCAATACTTAGTTTTTGGACTAAAATCCAATATCATGACTATGAAAACCTTGAGCTAGTCAAACTGAAAGTAGACCACTACATTTAATCAACATCCGCTTGACCGTCACAGCACACAAAACGACTATTTTTTTAATTATCCTTCCACATGTTAATCTCTTATCATCTTACATAATCTGAAAGAAAATGCAATTTCAGGCATTAAATTCCATACCAAGACCAAAATTTGATCAAAGATAAGCATGCAAAAAGCCAAAAGGGTAAGAGGATGGCTCCATTCTTATTTGCATACAATCAAATGCATAAAAAGGTTTAAGTGGACTCGATCCATATAGATATAGGTTGTTCACTCAGTGCCCTAGAGATAACTTATACATAAAAACTTGACCACAGACAAGTAGGCCACAGACGACAAATCATCGACCGACTTCAAGACACTGTTTGAAAGGAAGTATATCTCTATATTATAAAAGAAACATTATTCAAATGTCAAGGTGAATAACAATTTATTTATTCATTTTTATTATTCTACTGACGTACCATTTAAAATATTCTTTGTCCTTCTGTGAGAGGCCTTAGACCAACAGAATTTCTGGCCCAAATGATTTGTCAAATTTGCAATGAGGGCCATTTGCCAATATGTAGCTACGACCCTAAAACAGCACTCTCTGTAGCACAAATATAATATGTTTAATACAGAGTTTTATATTATAAGCGGTATGTTTATGTACTATTGCTACTGATTGGTTTTGAATAAGATTTTGATTTATTAACGTGGTAATATAATGGACTTTTTCAATTTCGGTCAAACAATTAAACTTGTATTGTATCCTAAATAAAGATATACGAGCATTTGTCGTTCAAAACGGTATTCTATCAGAGCCCTTTGAGTTCTTAAGACGATGTCGCCAGGGAGACCCTATTTCTCCATATATCTCTAATGTCGTTGTAGTATTTTTTGAAATCTCGATGAAGAATAAAATAGATATAATTATAATTATAATCCGTGATAAAGAACACGCGATTTCACAATTGCATAATGCACCACGCTTTTCTTAGCTGGTTCTAAAGAGTCTCTCTTTTCGGTTTAAATTGTCTTGACTTTTTTGCAAAATTGTCGGGCTAAAAAATCAATAGCTCTAAAACTAATATCGTGTGGATTGGCAGCAAAAAATATAGTCCACTACATTTATCAACAACCGCGTGACTGTCACTGCACACAAAACGACTATTTTTAGAATTGTCCTTCCGCATGTAAATCTCTCAACATCTCACAAAATCCGAAAGAAAATATTCATAGAGAAAATATTATTTTTAAAATGGACTCTATATATGGTATAAAAGCTCATTAAAAATCAATAATTCCGACATATTTAATTTATCAATCATGGCACAAAACTGGGGTGACATTTTGGGAGGCCACGTCAGTTTTCTGGTTTGGTGCAATGTCAGTTTTCCGGTATTTTAGGGCTATAATTTTGTTTACACATTACAGGTTTATTAAATTAAATAATCCATTAAAAACTATCCCGGTTGGGTTAAGATGGACGTCTCACGGAGCCATGAAAACAGGCGCAGATAATTATGGTAACGTAATGAGAAGGAATAAAAAAATAGTTGATGTTTCTCAAAATGAAATATTAAAAACAGTGGGTAGGTAAAGTCCAAAATATGGAACTAAATTTTTACTACATTCGCCATACAGTTCAGCCACAAAAAAGAAAAATGTGTCACAATTTATACAATTCCTCACATTGATTATTTTAATGCTTAACATAACAATTTCATTAAAACAATAACGGTTGTTGTCGAATATCGTTATAAGAGAAATTGTTCCATACTGACTTTATACAACAAAATAAAGAAATCTGTTATAATAAATGGGAAAACGATGCTTTATCAGATTCCATTCTATTTTAGATTCTTCTCTTTCACCGTCAAGAGTGAAAAACAAAGCGTATACTATCGGTGATTATGGTGCCGCAGACGGCTCTACAACTATTGGTCTGATACGAAATATAATTGGTAAGATGTTATGACGTGTATCAAGATCTCTATTATATTACGATTATACTTTCTCATTTTTATTTATTTATAAAACAGACATTAACCCCATAAATATTTTAACTTAAATGGACTGTTAAGACTAATCCGAACGAACTAGACGTTCATCTCAAATGAAGGGGTACTCATGACGACCCTATCTGGACAAAATCTGAAAGCAATATTTAATTTTGAAACAAACTGTAGATATTGTAAGAGAGAAATGTGGTAAAGATCAAGAGATACATGTTATATACGAAGATATCCCTACAAACGATTTAAACTGCCTTGTACAAAGACATAACGGTAAGAATAAACGTATTATAATAGTAGCATCATGACCCTTGAACCGCATTGCCCAATTATGTTAGGCCAATTAAGGGAAAGCATCCCAGGGAATTCGTTAATTTTTATATTTCAGGTTCTGTTTAATTATAATTATTTCTATATCACTGTCCAATATTTGATGTATTGAGCAATATTTAAAAATATATGTAATATACTATATTATACTGTACATGTATGTTAATGCCAATGCTATTTACCGTGTCTTTAATCCTCCGACAGCTCCTTTTGAGACTTGATATTCGAGAATTGCAAAATATATTTTCAGTAAAAAGTTCTTATGGTGAATCGCAACAATAACTAAATCTTGTCCTTTTAATTAATTAATTTTTTAATGGACTTACGGACCTCACTCCAATTGTATTACTCACGAACCATACTAACACTAAAGTAAAGCGTATTGCCACGAAAAACGGATGATTGAAACAAATGGAATACATTGGAACAAGTGTCCAAATTGTTTCAAAATGTTCCAAAATGTTCCAAACTGTTTCATAGTCCCAAATTGTTCCAATAACAGAGAAGTTCTGCCGGCGACCTGCGCAAGGATGACACGCAAATTCGTGAAGCGTTCCATATTTTTCGAATCTTGATACGAGATCCTTTTTACAAACCCTTATCCTAACGCCTGATATATGATGCTATTTCTTTTTTAATTTCGACGTTTCTTTGGGGGCTGCTTTAAGGCAGTTCTCTGAATGACTGTACGGTTATACATAGGCCTAATTTAGGTAAACAATTATACAACGTCATAACAATCGCCGCTTAAAACAATTCAATGCATTGTTTTTGCTGTTTGATGCCAGTATTATAGGTTGAAGTGCCGAAGAAGGTTTCTGAAGGCAATGAATTGCTAAACAACTCAATTACGTCATAATTAGCAATACAATTGACATATATATGCTTCCACAATGCGACGATAATTGCACTTATAACCCTTCCAACCGCATCAAAACTATTTGTTGCTATTATAGACAGATGGATATTCACTTATCAAAAAATTTTTTCCTCTTATCGTCAATTAGAACTTGAAATTGGCCCTCTTTTCCAAATGACGCCATTGAAGAACGCCTTTTCACTTCGGCTGGATCACATTGACATTGAGAAATGACTAGGAGTTTACCTCTAGCAGACGATTTTTCTTTCTAACATTCATACGTATTCACCTATTAAACAGGAGACCGAGATATTATCCTGTCCTATCTACTACCTATCGCCACATCTTACAGGCACGTTCTATGGTCACATCCATTAAAGGGTAAGCGATGTTTCAACATCAAATCTCCCCTCCTTTCTCTTGTGATTTTCGCATGTCGGCGACGTTTACAGAATAACTACTTTGCCTTGTGCTATTTCTATTGAGTTCAGTGCGCATGCACAATTGTCCATTTCCTATCACGCGGGTTTGTTTATATGTCACAATTACGATCATGCTAACAATGATAATGGGTGTAACTGTGTCATACCAGGGAGCTTTGATGTGTGGTAAGTCTAGGGTACTTAATGGACTTACGAACCCCTCTCCAATTGTATTACTTACGTAATACATATACTAAAATTGGAACGATACAGAGAAGATTAGCATGGCCCCTGCGCAAGGATGACACGCAAATTCGTGAAGCGTTCCATATTTTTCGAATCTTGATACGAGATCCTTTTTACAAACTCTTATCCTAACGCCCAGTATATGATGCTATTTCTTTTTTAATTTCGACGTTTCTTTGGGGGCTGCTTTAAGGCAGTTCTCTGAATGACTGCACGGTTATACATAGGCCTAATTTAGGTAAACAATTATACAACGTCATAACAATCGCCGCTTAAAACAATTCAATGCATTGTTCTTGCTATTTGATGCCAGTATTGTAGGTTGATGTGCCGAAGAAGGTTTCCGAAGGCAATGAATTGCTAAACAACTCAATTACGTCATAATTAGCAATACAATTGACATATATATGCTTCCACAATGCGACGATAATTGCACTTATAACCCTTCCAACCGCATCAAAACTATTTGTTGCTATTATAGGCAGATAGATATTCACTTATTAAAAATTTTTTTCCTCTTATCGTCAATTAGAACTTGAAATTGGCCCTCTTTTCCAAATGACGCTATTGAAGAACGCCTTTTCACTTCGGCTGGATCACATTGACATTGAGAAATGACTAGGAGTTTACCTCTAGCAGACGATTTTTCTTTCTAACATTCATACGTATTCACCTCACCTATTAAACAGGAGACCGAGATATTATCCTGTCCTATCTACTACCTATCGCCACATCTTACAGGCACGTTCTATGGTCACATCCATTAAAGAGTAAGCGATGTTTCAACATCAAATCTCCCCTCCTTTCTCTTGTGATTTTCGCATGTCGGCGACGTTTACAGAATAACTACTTTGCCTTGTGCTATTTCTATTGAGTTCAGTGCGCATGCGCAATTGTCCATTTCCTATCACGCGGGTTTGTTTATATGTCACAATACGG